CATGGGGAGTAAAAAAAGAGAGGTATCATAATGTACACTGTACTGGGGAGTAAAAAAAAGAGAGGTATCATAATGTACACTGTACATGGGGAGTAAAAAAAAGAGAGGTATCATAATGTACACTGTACAGGGGAGTAAAACAAAAAGAGAGGTATCATAATGTAAAACTGTACATGGGGAGTAAAAAAGAGAGGTATCATAATGTACACTGTATTGGGGAGTAAAAAAAGAGAGGTATCATAATGTACACTGTACAGGGGAGTAAAAAAAGAGAGGTATCATAATGTACAGGGTAGTCAAAAAAAGTGTGGTAAGTGTTGTCTAAAGCAATATCTCTTTCTCGTGCAATATTTTTTCCGTTTTTCGAACCAAAAGTATGTTAAGGTAAAGATGATTCAATATATATTTATTTAATCATATTTTCATGAAATTAATCTGCAAAATTTGATGTTGTAAAGTGGAGGGTTAGAGGTCATTCGAAGGTCAAACATTGAATTCTTTACTGCTACTGTATTGCCTGGGTTTCTTTCCTAAGCTTTCGTTTGATATGCATAAAACCATAGTTAAAACATTTTCAATTTGGAGGTATTTATTTACAGTATCCTCTAATGACACAAGTGGATTATCGCCCACGGGTACTAGAAAACATTTAGACTCTTTTCTGTAGGAATTAATAATCTATCCTACTGTCCAAATATTTTATAATTATCCATTTTGAAAACTGCGCATTTATTTTTAGTTAAAACCAGTGCTTAGGATCAGGATCCGTTGAATCTGCAAGATTTTGGCTTCCTTGATCCGGATCCCCGGATCTAAGGGTTAAAATATCAATCAAAAACTGCCAAAAAGAAATTTACTCTTAAACCCGAATCGGTTCTATTGAAAAAAAGAGAGCTATAAATATTTTCTGATTTCCGAATTGTTCATTAAATTATAATAGCATAAAAATAAGCGGAAAAAAAAACGAAAATTTCAAAATTCTGCTTTGTTAAAAAGTTTTAGTAAATCTGAAAGAAATGACCTGGATCTGGATCCGGATTTGGATCCAGATCCGGATCTTAGTTTTCCGGTCCGGATCCAGGATCCGGATCCGCATCAAAAATAAATGGATCCTTTGCACTGGTTTAAACTATACTAATACTAACCCTTTGCAATGCAATCATCCTATGCAGCCATTTGAAAACTATGCAGCCGTATATAAACTTGTATATCTTTTCTTATTTGAGTCTATTGAGCACGTCTATGCAAATGATACAACTTGTTTTTAACTCCAATGGTCTCATACCTTCATCCGTAGATTTAATTTTTGATTTCACCTGTTTAGGCGATTCAACCAGAGTACACCTTCTCTAACGAGGGGATTTCCGGAGATGGTCTTTCATCGAATTCTTCTTATTTAAGGTAATAAAAGTATAAAACTGTTGAACAGGAAGACATTAAGACAATTGTTGGACTCAATTAATATTTTAAATTAGTCTGATGAACTCGGAACACACTTACGTACTATGCAGTGTACACAGATCCAACAAGTTGATTCTTAAGCAGCTGATAAATTATTTGCTTTAGAAAAACATCAAATACACATAAGATGTTTTCTTCCTTATTTGGGTTGCATTAGTTTTCATTTTCTATAAGTAATAAATTTTGGGATGAGTGCCATATTTTGTGTCAACTTGGGATGAGGGGAGGTTAATCATTTGTGATAAAGGAATATTATTTGTGATAAAGGAATACTATTTGTGATAAAGGAATACTATTTGTGATACAGGAATACTATTTTCCGTTTTCAGATATGGCCTTCTGCCACGTGAGAACATGTGCACTGAGAATCTGACTCCTTGGAAGAAGCTTCTGCCCTGTAAAACTAGAAGAGGTTTAGCAACCTTGATCAACTCAGGACACATGCAGAAATATAGTTCTTACCAGTCTATTGGACTTAGTATTAGGTATGGTTACATTTGATTGGGCTTAGTATTAGGTAGAAATTATAGTCCTTTGGACTTAGTATTAGGTAGAAATTTTAGTCCATTGGACTTGGTATATGGTAGGTTTACAGTTTGTTGGACTTAGTATTAGGTAGAAATTATAGTCCTTTGGACTTAGTATTAGGTAGAAATTTTAGTCCATTGGACTTGGTATATGGTAGGTTTACAGTTTATTGGACTTAGTATTAGGTATAATTTTTAGTCCTTTGGACTTAGTATTAGGTAGAAATTTTAGTCCTTTGGACTTAGTACATGGTAGGTTCACAGTCCATTGGACCTAGTATTAGGTAGATTTAGAGTTCATTGGATTTAGTATTAGGTAGGTTTACAGTTTATTGGACTTAGTATTAGGTAGGTTTACAGTTTATTGGACTAAGTATTAGGTAGGTTTACAGTTTAATGGACTTAGTATTAGGAAGGTTTACAGTTTATTGGACCTAGTATTAGGTAGGTTTAAAGAATGTTAGGTACTTTCCTTAAGGATGTTCCCCAAATGGTAACTTCGTAAGGGTAATTTCCCAAGTGGCAACTTCCCAAATGTGCAATTTCCCAAGCAGCAACTTCCCAATTCAGTCCTAGCCGCAGCGCTCGGCCCACAGCCTTTTCTATCAGCGGCACTCGGCCCCTAGCCCATCCTAGCTGCAGTGCTCGGCCCTGGCGCCTCAGAGGGACTAGCCTTACCTTTGGGAAAGTACCTACCACCGTTTAAAGTTCATTGGAGTTCATTGGACTTAGTATTACGTAAGTTTACAGTCCATTTGACTTAGTATAAGGTAAGTTTACTTTACAGTCCATTGGACTTAGTTATAGGTAGGTGTGTAGTCCAAATTGATCTTATTATTGAGTAGCTTAATAAGCCATCAAAAATTACATAATTGCACCATTTACAATTATAATTTGAACTGTGAACTGTTTATCTGATATTTACAATTTGTCTGGTTTAGGCCTGTTTGTATCGATCCTGCCTGTTCTACGCCTAGTATAGAACTCAAGCAAACTATGTCTGTTGTATTTGATCCTGTAATCATGAATAGGTAACATAGTGAATAGTGATAGAGGGAGGGAGGGACCTTTTTATTTGTCTATATTATTTTTACTTGTAAACTTGTTTTCCTGGTATTTCCCAAATGATTTTTACTTGAAAAATTCTTTTTGCAGAGATGCCCAACACACAAAAAAAACTAAAATTCGTTGAAATCAAAACCCCCTAAAATGTTTCAGCTTTTAAAACCTTTTTGTACCAAAAAATTGATTAATTATTAACAGAAGTTTTAATTACATGGTTAATTCGGGAATGTGTAGATAGGAGGAATAGGGTTTCTCTTCACATTTTTGGACTGATAATAAAATTTCAAAAAAAATGTTAACTGTTGTTTATTTTCTTCTTCTTCTGAGTAGTTCTTAGTTAAAGAAAACACCTACCGTAGTGCTTCACTCATTGGTAAATTTTTATTGTCAGCCTTTGATCTATTTTTTCATATTCTGACAGGCCCATTTTCTTTATCTACTTATGTTTGTCCAGGAAAGCTGACAATGTAAACTGGAGTTTAAAACAGATGTTTGGTATTGGGTTAACCCCATCCTGTCCTCTCTCCCATACAAGCACAGCATTCATCGATGTCACAGGTGAGGTTTTTAATATACAATATGCAGTTTGCCATTTTAAGGGTCGTTAACGATCGTAAAAATTAAAAACGAAATACCTTGGTTCAGAAAACGAATAACTAAAACAAAAAACAACTTCGTCTCTCAATTTTAAAAAAACGATCGTTTTGTTTTTCTTTTTTTCTACAATCGTTAACAAAACGGAACAATTGTTTTTCAAATAAGTAAAATCGGCCCATCCCTACACATAGGACAGCACTGTACTTAAAGATGCAAAGATGGTGAGATGCCCTATTTACAACTGTGCTCTTTAAAGCTTTTTCTGAACAAGTAGGAATTAGATTTTAATGTTTTTGTTAAGCCTAAACTGTATATTTTAATTTGCCGTTTCTCTGCAAAAGTGACTTGCGCATTCCTTGTTTATAAAAAGCAACGGAGAAAATCGCAGAAATGAACACTTCCGAGTCACAAAAAACGACGTTTTTTTCCACATTTTTGATTGGAAGGTTTTAAAGAGTACTGTTGTAAATCACCTGAAATAACGCTTTCGTCCCTTTAAATTGGAAATGACATTAAGGTCCTAGACTTGCATTTGACTTCAGTCTGAGGACTTGAATTTTTTAAACTAAATTTTTTTATCTCCCTAGATGCTGGATACAATTTGGAACCCCCACCTCAAAAAGTTCTGGATTTTGGAGGAGGGAAACCTAGAAAAATTGGTGTTTATGATCTTAAAACATTCTCCGAGGAAGGAATACGAGACATCAGAGCTGTATATCCTAAGGTGACATTAAATAATAAAGATGACACATTTTTCTGGCATCATTTTCAAGAAACAAAATAGTATTCTTCTGGGAATTCCAGATGTGTATAATTTTATGAATTACACCCCAGGACATCAAAAGGAGAGTTTTTGTCAATTTCTTTATCCTTTTTGATACTTTTTCATCATATTTCATTTATTTCCCCTTAAAATCATTCATTTCCCCTGAAAGTCATTTATTTCCCCTTAAAATCATTTATTTCCCCTTAAAGTCATTTATTTCCCCTTAAAATCATTTATTTCCCCTTAAATTCATTTATTTCCCCTTAGAGTTATTTATTTCTCCTTAAAGTCATTTATTTCCCCTTAAAATCAATTATTTCCCCCTAAAATCATTTATTTCCCCTTAAAATCAATTATTTACCCTTAAAGTCATTTATTTCCCCTTAAAGTCATTTATTTCCCCTTAAAATCATTTATTTCCCCTTAAAATCATTATTTCCCCTTAAAATCATTTATTTCCCCTTAAAGTCATTTATTTCCCCTTAAAATCAATTATTTCCCCTTAAAATCATTTATTTCCCCTTAAAATCAATTATTTACCCTTAAAGTCATTTATTTCCCCTTAAAGTCATTTATTTCCCCTTAAAATCATTTTTTTCTCCTTAAAATCATTTATTTCCTTTTAAAATCATTTATTTCCTCTTAAAGTCATTTATTTCCCCTTAAAATCATTTATTTCCCCTTAAAATCATTTATTTCCCCTTAAAGTCATTTATTTCCCCTTAAAATCAATTATTTACACTTAAAGTTCTTTCCCTCCAATTCAACATAGAAACCCTAAAATAATTACTTTTCAACATGTTTAAACTTGTAATTTTTTTCCTCACTTTTAATTTTCATAAGACAAACCCCCATTTACAACGACTGTCAGCCATTTTTGATTTCTGTGAAAAATGTCTTTTGCAAATCTTAAAAGAATACGATTTTGGTTCTTATGAATGATTCCAGAAAAAAATGTCACCAAATTAACCCATTGTCTTGTCTCAAACAAAAAATTGTCCCTTGTAATTTATGAATTGAATTTTACGGAAGAGCTTTATTATATTACCGCCTTTTCACATTACCAATCTATGATTCCCCCTACAGAGGGAGGTTAGGTTACGTAACGTCCCTTGGGACAGTTACGCAAAATAACCAACCGCTCTTCGAAGTTTTCTGGAAAAAAATCGCCCATTTTCATCTCAAAAAACGATAAAATTGTGTATTGAAATCTTATTTAACCTTGAGTTCCCTCGACCAATTTTCGTTGCGCTCTGGATGTTTTGTAGACAAAATTGGTCTTGGAAACCCTTGGTAAAGTAAAATTCCCTTAACTTCCCTATAGTTGTAGTTGTAAATAGTTAAAACATATTTTACAATTTAGACACAAACATGCAGAAATGTTCACCTTGAAATGGACTAAAGGCGTAATTTCAAGTGACCCATCATTTGTAAATTGGCATGTCCTATTCACATCAGCACCAATTAAACTTTTGAATGATCGAGGATCTTAGTAATCTACAAATACGCTTATATTTGTTGAACACTTTGTTTGCAGCCTGTTTTTTAAGAGAAATATTAAAAGTAAAATCAGCTGTGTTAAGGTCACAAGTTCACACTGTGCGCTAGCGTACACGTCGGTTTTACAAGCATTCTATCGTTATTTAAAGGTTTAAAGGGTACCGTTGTAAATTGGACATTGACATCTGTGTATGGAGGGTCAAGTTCAATTAGTTTTTTTAAAGATAAAGTATGTTACTTTAAATGCCATTGTTATGTGGGAAATTAATGATTTTTAATCTGAAATTTTATTAATTTGAATATTGTTTAGGCGCATATTTACGGGGTGGTTCGAAGCCTTCCTGTTCAAGTTTCTAGGCATGTAGTTGGAACAGGACAGGAGAGAGGAGGAATAGTCACTACCATAAAGTAAGCTCATGTTTATATAGTCACTTACCTTCACGTTCCCTTATTTATATAGTCAATACCATCAAGTATCTCATGTTTATATAGTCACTACTATCAATTATTGCATGTTCATATAATCACTACCATCTAGTAACCTCATGTTTATTTAGTAAAGTAAGACATTAGTCACTACCATCAAGTAACCTCTGCGCTTCATTAGATATTTCACTGAGGTTTATATATTTTCAAATAAATAAAATAAAACAGTCAGACATCAATCCAAAGGAAGTAGCTCGGAGTGTCATTGGTGGACATGGCCACACTGGACCAAAGTGTGGACCACAAAGCATGGGTCAAGTTCAATGGCGTACTGCCACAAACCCGCTGCACACTTACCAGATGCATGAAAGTCCTGTCGGTACCTTCATGAAAATGATAAAAAAAAGAGTAAAACTATTTAGACGCCAATATGGTTTACCTCAAAAGGTACCCTATTGTCCATAAGCCTCCAAAACTGACCGCCGCACCTCCAGAATAACAGCCATTTTCCGCCCTAGGATACCCATAGTTTGGTGTGTGCGTAGGACTTTGATGACAAACTTAACTGCCCTATCCGCCATCACCTAAACCAGCACATGCTTTCTCTCGTAATTCATGATTATTCTAATATCTTTCTGGATGTTTATCCATGACTTAACCCAGGGATCACTTGGAACATCCAGTAGGTGCCGCAGAACCTCAATCAAGTTAATGTTGTTCTTGTTCTTGCAGATATTCTATATGAGCACCGCTTGCCTACACTGAATCCTATGTTCCATTGGCATTTAGTCAGCATCGCACCAAACCAACACTCTTAGAGAGGGATTTGATACTTAAAGTGGTATTTCACAGAAAGAATGTTTTCTTAATTTACTCCTAAATTGTAATCTTTAGGTCATAGTGTGCTGGGCTGTTTAGTAGCTGCACCAGAAAATGAACATTTTAAAGTTGGGAATATGGTTACTGAATTTTAGTTGCTTGAAGGATATGTGTCAAAAAAAAATTCAATGAATTTGTCAATGTTTACTGCACCTTCATCTTCTTTGAAGTAAAATACAAGATACAATTTTTTTATCTTGATAAATGTCATATCTTGGCCCAAAAATATAAATTAGGAAAATATTATGATTTCAGGAATAGTTGTTTTACTACTCTATCTAAATTAGGAAAAATATTATCATTATGATTATTGGAGGAATACCTGTTCTACTATTTTATCTGAATTAGGAAAAATATTATTTATTATTATTTCAGGAATACTTGTTCTACAACTTCAATAGACTTGCTTGTCTGTCTATCGGTTTGTTTGTCTGTCTGTTTGTATTCGATAGTTGGAACTAATGCTTCAATTCGAAAAGAAAAACTCCCAAAATTTGAAAATCATTTTAAATGGCCGACTTTCAAAGCAAACAGTTGATAGCTTAAATTATTTACTGGAAAGGTAGCGTGAAGCACTCTAACATCCTAGTTATCTAAATAAGGATAAATATTATCATTATAATTATTTCAGGAATACCTGTTCTACTCCTCTAACAGGTGTTTACCTGGACCTGGTTCCCTGGTATATCAGGGTATACCTTCACACCCTTAGGTAACAAGACTGATAGGATAATGGTTAATCTTTTAAACCCCCTTTTTTACGTTTTAAGTTTAAAGGGACTGTAGGCCTGTAGGGGTAATTTCAAGTGACCCTTTGACCTTGACCTTCATGCCATTTCATGCATTTAATGTACTGTCTGTCCCAATGAGATATACAAATATCAAGAACCAATTTGTATTTTTTTTTTTATTTCTATCTGATATCTGTAAAATGGAATAAGGTTTTGCCGTCACTTTGTAGGTCTGTGAAGAAAAGTTTCCATTAAAATCTCTGTTGGCTAAAAGCACTGAGGGATAGGAAGACAGCATTTATGAAATCTTGTGTGTTATTAATAATGCTATAAAGCAAATAGTTTACCAGCAGCCTGAAAACATATAATACATAAATAATATATATACAAATTTTTGCTTTTCTGATTTTTTGATTTTGAGAGAAAAAAATGTATTGCGGATTTTTTTGGACCCATGGAGAATGGAGATGCAAAAACAATTCCAAAAAATATTGAAATAATACCATAGAGGAAAGTTGCATAAAAAATGTGCAATTTTTCGCCAGACACCGCTAATCACACTTTATTTTATTTCACCCTGTATGTTAATTTAAAATTATGGGTTTAGTCCTGTCTTCTTCCTTTTTCCCACTCTAATAATAGAAGTGCTGTTTGTTTGATAATCTTATTATGGTTAAATGTAGATTGTATATGATGACAAACACTACTACCCAGGGGTCCATATAATTCCAAAAATAGCTGATTTTCTCGATCCCAAAATAATGTTTGCCCCCAACTTAAAAAAAATGCCCCAATTAAAAAAACATTTTCTAATTCCACTAACACATTTGCCCCATTCCAATTTGAAAAAAAATGCCCCCAATTAAAAAAATATTTTCAAATTCCACTAACACATTTGCCCCCCATTTAAAAAAAATGCCCCCAATTAAAATAAAATTTCAAATTTCACTAACACATTTGCACCCATTTGCCCCCAATTACAAAAAATGCCCCCAATTAAAATGTTTTTTTGCTTTTTTAGACTACTTGTTTAAAGGATCCAAGAGGACTTCAAAATGTATTTATTAATATGATGATATTTATAATTTAGAGTTGAAGTGAATGGAGAGAAAATTAGCCCGGAGAGAGTAGTTTATAGACCTGGACAGGACAGAGTTAAACCATATCATCTAGAGATGGTACTCAAACTACCCCCAAGGTAAGAGCAGTTTATAGGCCAGGACAGGACAGAGTTAAACCATATCATGTAGAGATGGTACTTAATCTACCCCCTAGGTAAGAGCAGTTCATAGACCTGGACAGGACAGAGTCAAACCATATCATGTAGAGATGGTACTTAAACTACCCCCAAGGTAAGAGAAGTATATAGACCTGAACAGGATAAAGTTAAACCATATCATCTAGAGAAGGCGTGATAGTCTGGAAACAGCTCACCTTGCTATGCTTCCCATTCGGGAAATGTTCTCTGTATGGAAGGAGACCAGCGGGTAGCAAACAAGTAGATGGTCACATATCCATGGAGATCTTATTTTTTTCTGGATTTTTGTCCTCTGGGGGTGCTCAATGTAAATTAATAAAATGAGACAAGTACAGAAGTATTGTCTTAGGGCACTCCAGGGATCAAACATCAAGAAGTGATGCTCTGTTGTGGCTGGTCACACCACAGATGTCAATCATCAGGCTTCTGAATACAACAAATATTAGTAGTCTGTGTATATTGTTGGTACTTAAACTATCCCCTATGTAACAGTCGCTTTATTTATTGATAAAAGTTTATTTCTATGTGCCATTAGGTGGACAACTCAAATGCAGCAACAGTTGTTTTATTACGTAGTTTTAACCATAATTTTTTATGTATGTATTTAATTGTAATTTATCTTTATTTTTAGATCTACCACCACAATAACAGTAGAGACAGAGTATTCTGTATTAAGGAAAACCAACTTATTAAATACTTTAAAGAGATGAATATGAGTTTTGTATCTTAATTTGAATCAAAATGTTAAAATTCATTGAAGGATGACCATTGATTATCAAGGTACCAGCTATCCCTTGGCACGCGGGACAGAATGCTCCAGTATTGATTCTGACCTCAGAAATGAATTCCTTGACCCAACTTTCCTATGTTTTTAATGGTTTTTTTGTCCAGGTTATTGAAAGATTTCAAAATATTTAATCTTGTGAGCAAACCTCAAGAATTATCCCACCTTATGCAGCAATTATAGAACTTAAAAACGCTTTACAGGTATCAAATGAATCCTGATATTTTATTTATAATAACGCAATCCTACTAGACCTACTATACCTAGCCAGTCACTCACTTTAAATAAAAGAACAGTCTCTTTAAATATATTGGTTGTACAGATGGACTGAATACCCTCCAGACGCTAACCATGGATTCTATATTGGTTCTGCTGTACTCACTACTAGACTTCCACAGGATAGTAGGAGCAATGCTACCTTTACACATAGGTACAATACACAGAATACAGTACACAATACATAGTACACAATACCCAGTACACAGTACACATAATACAGTACACAGCACACAGTACACTGTACATTGTACACTGTACACAGTACACACTACTAGACTTCCACAGGATAGTAGGAGCAATGCTACCTTTACACACAGGTACAATACACAGACTACAGCACACAATACACAGAAAACAGTAGACAATACACAGTACACATAATACAGTACACAGCTCACAGTACACTGTACACTGTACACAGTACACACTACTAGACTTCCACAGGATAATAGGAGCAATGCTACCTTTACACATAGGTACAATACACAGAATACAGTACATAATCACAGTACAAAGTACACAGCACACAGTACACTGTACACAGTACACACTATTAGACTTCCACAGGATAGTAGGAGCAATGCTACCTTTACACATAGGTACAATACACAGAATACAGAACACAATACACAGAATACAGTACACAATACACAGTACACAATACACAGTTCACAATACCCAGTACACAGTACACATAATACAGTACACAGCACACAGTACATTTACACTGTACACTGTACACTGTACACTGTACACTGTACACTGTACACTGTACACTGTACACAGTACACACTACTAGACTTCCACAGAATAGTAGGAGCAATGCTACCTTTACACACAGGTACAATACACAGAATACAGTACACATTGCACAGTACACAGTACACATAATACAGTACACAGCACACAGTACACTGTACACTACACTGTACACTGTACTCTGTACAATGTACTCGCTACTAGACTTTCTCAGGATAGGAGTTGTGCAACATTTATACAAAACACAGTAAACAGTACACACAATACACAGTATCACAGTATTCAGTACACTGTACTCACAATTAGACCATTACAGGATAGTAGGAGCAATGCTACATTTACTCTAGTCTATATTATACATTCTAGGCTAGATTTTAATCTCTATTATATATTCTAGGATAAATTCTAATCTGTATTTATTCTAGGATGAATTCTAGCTTGAAGTAAATATTATATATTCTAGGATGGATTCTAGTCTGAACTATATATTCTAGGATGGATTTTAGTTTGTATTATATATTCTATGATGGATTCTAGTTAGTATTATATATTAGGATGGATTCTAGTCTGAATTATATATTCTAGGATGGATTCTAGTCTGAATTATATATTCCAGGATGTATTCTAGTTTGAACTATATATTCTAGGATGGATTCTAGCTTGAATTATATATTCTGGGGAAATCCTGAGACTGACTCAGTTCTTAACATATTCACGGAGACTCTCCTGGTAAGAATTCGTCTAGAACTGTCTGTATTTGCCTAACTGTCTATATTTGTATTGAACTGTCCATATTTGTCTAATTGTCTATATTTATCTATATTTGTCAAGATTTCTCCAGATTTCTCTAGATTTCTATAAATGTGTTAAGAGATATTAATAATTTTGTTCAAATTTCAATTTATTAAATAAAACCATGAAAATATCTCATTCTGAACAAAATGATTCATATCTCAAGTGAAAGGACAAAAATGGCAGACCACATTTTAGAAATAGCATGATTATGCTGTAATTTTTATCATAAAATATTTTGCCTGCTAAAATCAGATTATCGGTGTTATATGCCGCAAACTATTTCTAAGGTCAAAGACGACTTTAACGTCGTCAATCAATTTATATTTTTCTGGGTTATTCAGAATTGGACTGTAGATTTGTCTATATATTTTCCATATTGTCTATAAGTTTGAAATGTCTATTATTGTCTATATTTATGTAGGTAACAATGCCTACCCCTGACTTCTCTATGCCGTACAATGTTATCTGCTTGGCCTGCACTGTGGCGGTAATATATCTTTTAATATTAATAAAGAACTAATTAATGATATTATATCTTTAATCTATCTATAATTCATCTATCCTTTTCTTTAAAACTTGAGGAAATAAGCTTTGAAAAAAAGCATTATTTTAGTACTGGACATTCTTAATGTCAGGTTTATTTTCATCCAAAGGGTTATCCACAAAGGATAAGACTTCAATAACGACTTTTAAACATCAAGATCTAGTGGTTGGATGGTTTTATGACCAGGGATGTACAGATAACGCAGAACTTTGGAGACATCGAAAGAATTTATAAAATGTCGTTTTACTGATCATGGCATAACGCAGATATTAAGTTTTTTAAATTAAATAATTAAATATAGCCCTTTAAAACTGTTCTCCCATATTTCATGGCTATTTATTTATTTCTACAATTGTGAGATTTAGGTTTGATAGTATAAAACCCATTGTCAAGACGACATTTTATGAATTTGTTCGATTTCTCCTAAGTTCTTGGTTTTAAACAGGTAAGAGCCATAGTTATTCGCTCATTTATGGCCCAAAGCACTTCAGTCTGTTTATAGTTTATAAATGGCAAATGTAATGCTTTCGGATTACGCTTTTCAACGAATAAAAAAGAATATATGTCCCAAGATTTGACTGAGTAGTGAGTGTATTTTTAAAATTACTAAGTCGCATCCTTAGTGGGCTCTGGGCAACCCTGTACCCTATCTTTCAAATTTTTTAGGCTCTAGCTTTCGGACCAATCCATAATATTACAACCAGGAGTCTGGTTTTAGTTCCTCCAGAGGAGGAGGAGAAATCTCTCCTGGGTAAACTCTTGGCTCCGTTATTATCTCTATTTTCCTCAATACTCGGTGAGATTATATTAAATGTCGTCTTTATTGTTTAGATATTAAATGTCGTCTATTTTGAGAAAATTGTAAACGTCGTCTATCATAACAAAGGACCGTGGGCTTAATATCAAGTGATGCTCCATGTGAAGATTGCAAAGTCCGATTCACAACGGTAGCTTTTTCTGGTCATCATGACTCATATTTCAATGTTAAATGTTTTTTCATTTTAGAACCTAATTATTTTCAATAGGGATAAAAATGGTTTCTCTATAACATAATAATATATAAATTTCGTATTTATCAATATTTATTATCTTCCACATTATTGACAAATTGACCTCTCGATTGGTAAAATTACTTTCTCATTTCCCTATCTTAAGATTTTCTATTGCCATCTCTCTTTAAAGGTGGCTTACGGATTTATGTCAAATTGGAATTTTTTTAATTCAGCACTTTCTCAGATAGTAAAATCATGATATCTTCTTCAATATTGGTCAAATAATAGATTTAAATATGCAATTCTTTTATTAATAAAAATCCTTTTTATTTGATTCTGTGTTTTAGGTAAGACAAAAAGTGCGAAGATCGACCAGCCAGCGGAATCGACAGAATCGACAGAACCAACAGAATCTAAAGATAAATAACAGTCTTGTTAACACTTTTGTGACGCGAATATTCTTCATATAATGCGCAATAATAAATAGAAATTGCATCAGTCCTGGAGAATTTGTACAATAACATTGATTTATTGCGATTTTGAAATAAAGCTTTTATTGTTTTTCAAAGAAATTTCATCGAGGTAAATTTATTCTCGTATTTTTAGAAGTGCTGTGATTCGTTTTGATGTTTTCTTATAATTGAAAATAAAACTAAAGTAGTAAATTGCTTATTTATTCTGCTTCATAGATGATACCATGCACGATATGAGACCTGTGTGTATTTTGGAGGATAAATTTTAATCATTTTCTTGTAGTTGATAAACACATTGGCATATGTTTAAATGAAGTTTGGTGCATGCAAATCTATAAAATCCTTTACTAAAACATACATTTCCATATTTGATTTAATAAATGATGTGTTTCTCTAATATCCTCGAAAATGAAGGTTGTTTATAAGTTACGTATGGCGAAAATTATACTGAAGAAGGAAATCAGATTTTAATCATAATCCAATTTTAATTCGATGTTTATAGTTTACCTAATCTAATACTTTAAAGGGAGTCTTCAAATTTTAGGGGACATTTGTTCCAAAACTAACACTTGGCCCATTTCTAACACTCAGTTTCGGAACTAATGTCCCCTGAACTTGTTCAGAAAGAGCGCAAATTCTTTGAAATCCTCCTGGATTGTCCAAATCCTAGAGAGATGATTTTGAGGTCCGGCTTTTTAAAAATATTCAATGATTGCCCCTCAAAATGTAAGAAAAAATTCTATAGCAAACTAATTAGTTGTTCAAGAATACTTAATTTATAATTAAAGCAATCAAATAACAATAATTTAGATTACATTTTTACTCAGCGACTAAGATCAATTAATTTTGTTATATTTATAACTATATATACTATATGCCCAGGTTTACTTGGTTATTCTTTGGTCAATAGTCATAGATACTCCCGCCATTTACCCGCGCTTGGTATCAAATTTAAGTTATAATTCGTTATGACGTTGCCCGGGGAATAAAAACATTCCCGAAAAGAACGAATGCACGAAGATTAAAGATTCAGATTTGAGGCTCTGAATTTGATAATTGTAGAAATCACGAAACCTCTT